AGAAAAAGTAAAGCTCACAGGAATTATTCACTTGAAATTGTTCATTTTCAACTCTGACAAAAAGAAAAAAATTCTGACTATGCATCCTAGTGATATATGTCTTTTCTTTATCTAATATTTAAATATATTTAATTATATTTTATCAAATGACAAGAATTTATATTGCATTTATATGCTTAGGAAATTAAACACATCAAGTCTAAGAAATTTCTTTTCAATATCTATAAAAATATAATGATTGAGCACCTATGTGCTTCCAATCATTTGCCTCTACAAGACAGCAATGTAAGTGGACTACTTAGAGTATTCAGCATAACTAAAATAGGGATTGTATATGTTTGTTATAATTCCAACCACTAAATATAATTTATGTTATTTCTCTATCTTCTTAAGTAGAATGAATGCTAGATTCAAAAATCAACCCAACTTCAGAAATTAATTACTTGGAAAAAGTTTATTATCATTATTATTATTTGAAAAAACAAAGGAGAATGTTGAAATTTTAGAATTGAAAGACATCACTACTACAGAAGTTTATAAGTCTGCCAGAATCTTAGAGAAGACGCAGGTGCTCTAGTAGGCCTAACACCATGAGGACAGCATGGAGGAGCAAAAGGGGGCCCAGTACCTCTATCGCTTGCATAAGAATGGTGAGACAGAACACTCATATAAATCAGCCAAAGGAGATATTTTTATTCACAGATACGCAGCAAGAATAAACAGGAGCCTAGAATCCTTGATGAACGGACTTCCCAAGGATCAGGAAACTGTCCAGGGCAGATGGAGTCTCATCTTTGCTTGCCCCATGTTACACAGCTGAGGAAACTCAAAAGCACTTTGCCCTGAGTTTGTACACCCTGGGCACCAAATTGCTGAGGTCAATCATTGGGAAACATCTCATTCTAGGAGGGAGGAGGACATAGCCTAGATTGTACTCAACACTTTCTCTTTATCTCAAGATGCCCTATTCTGGTTACTAGGATGCCCCATCTAGAACTAGAATGGGATGAAAAGAAAGTCTCTGTTAAGTTGAAGGGGAAAGAGCTAGGGCAGCCAAGGTCATTTGGGGACTTGTCCACCTGCAACTAGCCTTCCCAGTTCAATCCCTCCTTTATTTTGAATATTGCTTATAAGGAATAAGGACACTATATAGTTTTTCTTTATGGTTTATTATATTACCCTTAAAATCTTCTTTATATACTTCCTCCCTTTGTGTTTCTTCCTTCTTCTCTCTGAAATCATATAGAGTGAAATCGTCCTGATTTGCAGTTTAGCATATTGAAGAAACTACTGTAGTTATTGGGTTTTCCTCGTTTTGTTTTTAGGTGTATGCATTTGTTTGTTTGTTTTTTCTGAGACAGGCAGCCTAAGTTCCTTCAACCATTCCTCTATTGCAGAGGTTTTCACTGTGTGGTCAGTGCACTGGCGATGGTCTGTGACTATTTCATATCCTCTACACATTATGTGTTATAGGTCTACAAGAAGATAGGGAACTTGCACCAGACTGTAAATCAACATACTACTTACTTCATTGAAAATGTTTTGGTACAAAAAACAAAAATAAAGTTAGCTGAATTAAACTGTGTTTACTGATATAGTTGCTTTATGTTGTGGCACAAGATTTTATCATATTTTAGATCAGTAATAAGCAATTGAACCAGCTAGTCTGATAGCAAGTGATAAGAATTTGACATGATTTCTTGACTGGTTCTAATTATTTTTCCTTAGACCAGCCTCTGAAGTGCAACCAACTATTCCAGAGAGTTTGCTAAAAATATATTGAAAAATATTACATCCTAGTATCTGGAGACCATCTTAGTTTTGTATTAAGTTTTTAATCAAGTACAGCACTTTGTGAGACTTATACACTTGTTTCCATTCAGATTCTTCTTGATACTTAATGATCCATCATTCAAAGATTACAACCCAGTAGCCATTCTGTCCAATTTCATGTCATTTTCAAATATGGACTGTGTAGCTACTGGTATGTTAAAAAAAAAAAAAGTCACTTAGACAAGCACCTTTAAAAAAAATTTTTCCTGAGTCCATAGTTCAGCTGGTCAGTTATGGTGACTGTAACTCATTCACTTCTGACAATCTTCCTGGGGCCTGATCAAGCATCTGGCATCACTGGTTATTGGCAGGGGGCTGATCAGTCTAGCATGGCCTCAGCTAAAGTGACTCAGCTATCCTCTACTGCACTTGTATCCTTCAGTAGGCTAGCTTGAGCTTGGTCTCATGGCCATGACATGATTCCAAGAGAGACAAGAAGCACACAAGACCTTTGTAAGGATCAGTCCCACCACTGGCCTAGAGTAAAGGAGAAAAGTGGTGGAAAATGGATCTGGAGGAGAACAAAGTTAAAACCATCACAATGCCAATGTGTTCTTCCAAATTATTTATTAAAAATTTGAACATGGTATTGACAAATACTTTTCGCAGAAGACCTCAGTAGACCTTGTTACAAATGCATTGGTCAACAGTTTTGTAATATGTTATCTAACCACGTATGACTCTACCAATAGGTGCTTTTATCTAACCTATATTTTTCCATTCAAAAGAGTTCAGTGAAAAGTTTTCTAAAACTTGATGCTGTAATTAAGAAATTACTTATCATTTTCTGAACATAAATGATCATCACTTCATTATTTATAATAGCAAACTATTAGAAATACTGCAGGAATGAATATGTTTTTATGGTAATCCATATAATGAATTAGTTCATATAGCTTCTAATTTTCAAATAAAATGAAATGGGAAAATGCTCATAATTTAATTTAATCACAGAGTGGTGAGACACATAGTGAGACACAACATCAATGAAATACAGGTTTCATATTTTATATTTAATATATAAATATTTTGAAATTCCAGAAATAAATATACTAAAAATACTAATACTTATTTTCTTTGGATGGTAAGATAATAGTGCTTTTATTTTCATATTAAATATTTATGTATTTTCCAAATTTTCTACAGTGGACATAAAAAGCATCATCATCCAAAAAAGATAAACATTTAAAGTTTTTTTTTTATATTTTATGATTTTCTGGGGAATTAAAATCAAGCTTATACTTTTCTCTATTTTGAAAATTGTGCAATTTGTTTATTGCCATTTAATATTCCCTGAGATGTTATAATAATCAGAGGAAGATTGGGATACTTGCCATTAGCATAGTATCTGGACTTTAATAACCATTTCATGAATATTTTTATGTTGAAATTTTTTTCTGCAGCTATACTCAATATATGTCCTCTTTTTCTGTTGGATACCAAGAAGAAACAGGATTTTATGACTATGTGGAGCAATGCATAGTATCTATGTCAGAAGAAATAAAAAGGATAAGTTCTATATCACAGGATAGGAAAGCGAGGGAAAAATATATCTCAAACATTGATTCCTCTTCTGTTACATCATTATGAAACTAAGGAAGCTATCCCATAGCTACATCTATGTTAGCAATGATCATTTGTTTATAGCCTTTAAACTCTTGCCAGCAGTAAAAATCATGTTATGAGGTGATATTTACACTACCTGTAATGCTTAAATGAATAGTTCAGGTGCTAGAATGTCTCTAACAACACAGTGGGTAGGCTTTTCCTGCAAGGGATCTAGAATATGAATGTGAGTAAATCATCTACCAGACACCATGGCCACCAGAAGCATTGTGATATAATAATAGAGATGACCACAGAGTCTCTGATTCTTGTCCCACTGAGAAGTGGAGTCTCTGTTCCTTCTCTTGATCTGAGTGGACTGTGTTACTTCTTGACCAATAGTATATGACAGAAGTGACATTATGCTAGTTTCCTAGTCCAAGCATTAAGATACTGGCAACTAATACCTCTGATCTCCTGGAACACTCACTCTTGGAAGCCAGCTGCCAGGCTGTGAGAAACCCAAGCCCCATGGAGAGTTCACGCATATGTATTCCAGTTGACAGCCTTAGCTATGCTCCCAGCCAACCACAAGCATCCACTGCATCCACGTGAGTGAGTCCTTTCAGCCTTGTCATGTCTCTAGATGATTCTAGCTTCAGATACTATCTGACTCCAATTACGTTAAAGATCTCAAGCCAGATGCATCCAGCTGAACTCAGTCAACCCACAGAACCATAAGACATAATGATAAATTGTTGCTTTAATCTACTAAATTTGGGGATGGAGTGCTCAATTAAAAAAAAAACTGGAACATTAACCATTGTTAGCTGGTACGGTTGCATTTGAAACTAATTACAGGAAATAGATGATGACAGAAGATCTCTGTAGATCTATCTTTTAAACTGGAATAGAGCAATAGTGAGGAGAGCTTACTATATATTACGCCTTTCAAAATCATATCAGACATAATGATTCAAAGAAACCAAGAAGAAATAAAAAGAAAACTAAAGATAGCACCTAGCACTTCATGTTTGGAGTTGATGAGATGCCATCATGAGTATGGCACTTTACTGTTTACAAGAACCCTCAGGAATATGAATTATTGTTATACTCATTCTTTCTTTCCCCTTCCCTTCCTTTCTATATCTCTCCCTTCCTCCTTCCCTTCCCCCCATTCATTCTTTTCTCTCCCTCCAATTTCCAAGTTGTTTTCACTGTGCTCCACTCTACTGCACCTCCGCAGGATCTCCTCATGCTATTCATGGTATACAAAAGGATGCTGCTCCAGCAGGTGTCCCTGCGATATCAGGGGAGCGATCTCTGAGGTGAGAGGGTAACTCCTGCAGGATTTCATCCTGAGAAGCACTTAGGTGCTGCCTTAATCATCTTTGTTCTTCTCTCAGCTCAGAAATGATCAATTGCCTCTTTTTTAAGGAACAATGTAATATATATATATGTAATATAAATAAATATATACATATATGTGTGTGTATATATTTATTTAAATAAATATAAATAAATATATATATATATATATATGTATTTAAAGCCATGACTACCAAAACAGATATATAAACCTTTGTTATGCTGAAGGACAAACAACTTATTTTTGTTTTCAGGTATTCCAAAGTTGATTACATCTGATATGGTTAAAGAAGGTGCTGCTGTAATCGATGTGGGTATCAACTATGTCCATGATCCAGTGACAGGGAAGACAAAATTAGTTGGAGATGTGGACTTTGAAGGTAATAAACCAAATATCTTTTGATAAGTAAAGAAGATAAAAACATCTACCTTGCATATTTTAAAAATAGAAAGAGAAATTTTTCATTTATGGGGAATTATTAACTTATTAATCATCACCTCTTTCCTCTGAAGGAAAATAGTTTAATCAGACTTAATTATTTCCTTTCTCCCTCCCTCTTCCTTTCCCTCCCTTCCATCCTTCCTTTCTTCCTTTCCATCTCTTCCAATTCTATAATTAATATTTGGTTTAGAGATCAAATTGTTTTATGGTACAGTTTTTACTGATAGAATACAGCTGGCCTTTTATAAATCTGGGCATTATTTTGGATTTTGAGAGTTGTCATCTTACTGTATGCTTAGTCAAATATGCTCTATTCTCAGCCATTCACTCTTAGAGCCAGAAGGCATCTTAAGGTGTGTCTGCCAACCCTAACTAGATTTCAGATCTAGGTAGTTATCTAGATAGTTGAAGTCAGTGTTTTTCACTTGTGTTTTAAAGAGAATAAAGAAAAGGAACTGGGCTAAAGTTTTTGTGGTCAATGAAAGAGATAAGGCAACAAATATGTAGTAGTAAAAAATAAAATTCTAACCCAGTTAGAAATGGGGAAACTGGGCCCGAAGACAGGTGTATTTCTAGATTCTTGACCCTCTAATCCAATTTTACTTCCATTATCTTCGTCAGATATTTACCTGCATTCAGATTTTCAGTGTAGCCTAGTACTCTTAGACGTCTATGAAGGCATGAATATAGTAAATAAGTGGTGACATTTTTATGTTAGAAATATTTTGTGTATAAAACTGATTATTCTGGCTAAAAAATACAGTGCCACATCAAGAACTTTGTTAGTTATAGGTGTGTTCTTACAGAGAAACTGAAAAGAATAGATGATGCCATTTTAAAAATAATTTAGATTTTGAATTTACACTTAAAACCTGGTCATCAGCTGATGGCTTACCCAAGTTCTAGCATATCATTGAATAAAATAGAAAAGGCAGACAGTTAGAAGTGTCCCAGGGTCCTGGCCCCATATATGTGAGATTCTAAGATGTATCAGGGACCAGATCCAAGTAAGCAATTTGAGCCTAAAAGAAAGAGAAAACGTTAAGGACATATATATGCAACAATGTGTTCTAGAGACAAAACGGTAAATAAGAGCAAATACAGATGTACCTTATCAAAGAAAACACTACTGCCTATATTGGCTGTAACACATAGGGTCCTTGACATGGTTGGAACTCTATTCTAGCAGGGATGGCTCTCTACATGAGCATGTGTATCTGTATGTGTATACGTATGTCTGTGTGTTTGTACGTGTGTGTGTGTGTGTGTGTTGTGTACATGACGAAATTACTAGAGAATGACCTCATTTATTTAACCTTTTATGTTCAATCACTCAAGTCAGATATAAGTAACTTATTTGAATTTCTCAACTTGAAAGAGTGAAGGTATATTTTATTTTAAAACCTGGCCTTATTTACTCTCTTTACTGTCACTCTGTGTCTTGATAATATTATAGTTATCATGCGTTCATTGCAAAATTACCACACTTGTGATGCACCCAGATGGCATTGACAACATGAGATAATCAGCCTGAGGCAAGAAAAGCAGGGATGTTTGCAGTTCACAACTTTGACTGCTTGTAAGGCAAGATTACCCGGCAGTCCATTTCAGCACATTTTATAAGACTTTTCTCTCATAGAGTATTTCCTTGGTCTCATATCAGTTCCATATGTTCTTATTTTTAAGTAAGAATTTTTTGCTGAAAGTAAAAAGTATTCTGAAAACAATTTTTAAATGAGCATTTTGGCGTGGGTGTATATGCTTAGTAGCACATATAGATACTTCATTTATATAAAGTCTAACTTGGTAATGGCTATTAAGTCAAATTGCAGTTCTGTGTATCTAAGTATATAAAAATATTTTAAAAGGAGATGGAAAAGAGACAAAGATATGAGATGAACAGGGCTGGGAGACCTAGCCTGTTGCCTGATAGCTTTGCCACCTCACTAGCTGTCAGTGTTATTAGTTAAATGACAGCAAATATATTAGTGACTCCATTCAGTTCTACTGTTTGGGATATCTTGAACATCCAACAGAGCATTATCAAATGATCATGTAAAAGCACAGAAACTCATCATGGAGGTCGATATTTTCTAATCCTATCATAAAATACACCCATATGATTAGTTGTATCTATCTTGACAGCCTTCTGGTCAGTGAGCCAGAGTACTAATGAGGACCTGGACTTGGTAAAGAAGGCCTTGCCAGTGAGGCCATGACTCAGCCACCCACAGGGGCAGGCAAGTGATAGGTTTTGACATGTTGCTCTTCAAGTTGCTCATCAGGACTTAACCTAAAGTGAGTGATGATCTCCCAACCGAGAGGGAGGAGCTTTAAGATGGGTTATGCCACAAAACTCATAAGTAATATTTGGCTTCAAATTGCCACAGGGAAAGTGTGGTGGCTGCTTTGTGAGTATCGGTGAAAGTTTCACTGTAACTATAGCCAAGATTAACAAAATGGATGTAGATAAAATCAATTATTGAAGTAAATTGTTCTTGCAGAAATCTTTGTTCCACTAATAAAGAAAACTGGGTGACCCACTTAAAGTAGATAACATTGATGGGAATGATTTACCAACATAAATGAATGAAATGATTTTGATGGAAAGGATAACAATGTCCCAGAGGATGTAAAAAACTTCACATTAAAGGAACCTGCAGAGCTATTTCATGACATTAAAGGGCAAAGGATACAATGCTGGAAGCTGATTCATACTTAGGAATCTGCCAGTTCACCAAGACATAGAAAAGATGCTTGCTCCTAATCATCAGTTGTATGACCAAAAGAAGGCAACATCTTTCAAACTGTACTTCACAAAATGTTTACAGAGAAATAAAACACTTCAGTTCTCAATGTTTCTAACATTTTAAATTGCATTTGTTTTTTTAAATATTAGTTTAGTTTTACTGTTAGTAGTAGTTTAATAGTTTTACTATTAGTAAACAGTAGTTTTACTATTAGTAAATAGTAATGTTTATTTTACTATTATCAGTGATATTAATTTTATTTTTAATTCCATATACATTTATAAACCATTGTAAAGGAACTCTTAATGTTTTGACAAAAAATTTTTAAAGATCACTAAACAAATATAATTTCTCCCTTTGACCATTAAGACTGCTTCACACTGTTTCAACAGCCATCTTTATGGTCTTACACTACAGTGAAACTGAGCACTGTCCTTATTTTCCTCTGTGTCTAATTAAGTCTCATGAAATTAGTGATCATATAGTTCAAATTTATATCCAATGTCATAATCACTTCTACTACAAGATTATTCATTTGTTAGGTTACAGTTTCTCACTATTACTATCACTGTGGAAGATAGTGTTTGCTAAGCACCTTACCAACCAGTATGTCCTTTTCCTCAACATACATCCAAGTTAGGGTTTTCCTGCAATGCCATGCCTCTCTGGATGTTTGGGGAAATAAATAGGGCCTTAAAGTTATTACTAAATTGAAGTGCTATTTTGTTTTGAATTGATTTCCAATTACAGAACTCGACAGTTCATCAATATGTCCAGCTTCTGACAAATGCTTAATATTCCTCTTCAATTACTTGAAGATACTTCCTCCCTCCTAAATTACAACATTAAAAGAAGAAACAGTATTTAAAAGCATCTATGATAAAATTATTTTGCATGTCTAAGAATTATTTTGCATGTCTAAGTAAATAATCTATTCACTTATAAGTTTATATTTGCTATATAGATTATTATTTTTTCACACTGAGGTATAAGTACTTTCACAGGCAATTTTTTAAACCATTTTCTATTATAGCTTTGAAAGAAACTTCATACATTTCTGACAAAGAAGGCTGTAACTTCATACATTTCTAACAAAGATAGAATTGAGATTATGTGCTATGAGTAGTAAATAGCTTCTTCTGAATAACAATTGGAAAGTAGTATGTAGTCCTAGATTCAAAAACTGATAATTATACTGTTCTTAATTCATCAAATGGATTTGGTTGGCTAAATGGTCTAATTAATGACTTCCATGCTGTTAATTCAATTAACTGTGCTCTTATTGGTGAATTCTCAGGCCTCATTTATTTCTTATAGCTAACACAAAGACATTTCTCTACGCTTTTGAAGCTTTAGTAGGTTTGCTTCAATTTTATGATGCATCCTGCAGGGATTGAGGTGGAATAAGGACAACTGGAATGTCTATTCCCTGTTGACTGCCATCTCTCCTCCCTGTCTTCCAACTCTGACAATGCCTTTCTACTCATTGTTTTATACCAAAAGAAGGAATAAAAGAAGACAGAAAAGAATTGATGTAAATAAAGAAAAGAGATAGGAAAGAGGAATGATGTGTAGGCATTTTTGTTAAAATTCAAGATAGGTGAGGTTAATGTCTAAGAGTGACTTTCTTCTCTCCACTGTCTTAACATAATTGGACAGTACAAATTTAAAGTGTTAAATCTTTGTAAAGGTGATAAGTCCAATGTAAAGGTACATTATGTTGTTGATGAAACTGGTTTAAATCATAAAAGTAAAGAAGTCAGACTTTATGGAAAAGTATCTCTACTCCTCTAGGGCAACTGACATTATCATTATATTTTGTACTAGAGTTGCTTCCGGATATTTTATGTATGCGTCAACTGCATAGTTTGAGGAATATATATAACTTATACACATAAAATTGTTTTACTGATTTGTCATGCTGAGGTTCTGGTTTGTGGTTATATTCAGTAAATATATCGTTATTTGGTTCATCCTTTCTCTATTGTTAAACCCTTAGGTTGTTTCCATTTTTTTCTTCTAAGTATTATACTTGAGTATAGGTTAAGGGCTACAAGAAAGGGAAACCAAAACGGATTGACTTAAGATACTTTGGTTAGCCAGGCATGGGTGGTGGCTCATACCTGTAATCCCAGCATTTTGAGAGACCAAAGCCGGCGGATCACTTGAGGTCAGGAGTTTGAGACCA